GAAAAGCCATCTTAAATCTGTTAAAATTGTCTAGTTCTTATGAATTCAGATTAAGTGATATAGAATAAATTTACAAAAGTTTCTATCCCAACCGATTTATGCTGACAAATAGCCACCTTTAACTCTACAAATACCGACAGCGCACCTGTGCTTGCATCAGTATGAGTGCACTAAAATATTTATTGGGTTTCTGTGCGACATTCGACACCATTTTTATGCAGCCAAGTAAGCTGCTCCTGCCAATGTACATGCTTTTAAATATGCGTGTGTGTGCGCGAGTGTGCTTGCATTGATAAGTAGCTGTAAATAAAGCAGAGTTCACGTTGATAATTCCAGATTTATATGTGTATTAACACAGCGCAGAACTTGCAACAAAATGCGAGCGGCAATAATAAAGCGAGAATTACAAAAAAAGTACTGCTTATGTGAGGCAGGAGATGGCAGCGTAAGTGGAAGGAGGGAGAAAATCAAATTTAATGCTTTTTGCATATGTGCACTACACACTACACAGATATAGAGGCACACATATTTTCCACCCTCAGAAGTTAAGTAGTAATGAATACTGCCACGCATATGTGAACGCTTCATCGACCAAAGCATAAGTAGGGGCTAGCACATGCACTCAGACTCATGCTGCATGGACAGAGTGCAAATCGCCTTAATACACGTGTATATGTGTGTGTCCAACTCAAACGGGCGGTGTTGCAAGAAAGTGATTTTGACCACCAGCGGCTGCGTTGCACGTAAATTATGTTCACCGACAGCACAGCTGTACGTCGCCGTCGATAAGCGGGCGAAAATAAGTGCCGCCAGAGGCAAGTGAGAAGCAGCTGCTGCTGCTTTAGTGGTCCACTAGACGAGTATCTCTGTAGTGTCTGCTCCGAGTCGTCGCTAATACTGATAGCCATTATTGCGGGTCAACCAACCCCTTTTTATATGCATAAATTACAGAGGCGCCGCGTGCAAGTGCGCTAGCAATGGACCAAAGTAGCAACTACGGCACCAAGCGAGCGGAGAGGGCAGGCCATGCCTCAAGAGTAAAGGCCTCGTGAGTGCGTCTTGTTACATCTCCATACTTTATGCTCACTAAAGAGAAGAATGCGTTAAAGGATGCTAATCCGCTTACCGGCAAGGAAACGAGCGAACATAAAAAGTGTGCGGAATAAATGAGTGGAGCAAGAAGCGTGGGTTGTCCGGCAAAAACAAAGACGTTGTTAAGGCGGTGCGCAACAACAGAAATAACTTTCATAGTGTGCTACCTGTACCTGTGTGTGGTGTGTGTATGTGAGCGTGGGCAAAGGAGCTTGTTTGGCATGGCAGCCTCTTGGTGGCATAAAAATCAAGATTTATGCGGCAACAACAAGTTTTTATAACTTTCACAGCTATTTCGCTGGCTCCGCTGGGAATTGCAAAGGAGTTTTCGTTTGCCTCGTCTTGCATTCGCAGGAAGTTAATTATTAAGCGGCGAAGAGCGGCAGAGAGCTTGAAATAAAACCGAGCTGCGCTACCGTCTACTCGAGCACATCATACAGGAAGGACATTGAGGAAACATGCTTATTATTATTTTTGTGTTGCACACACACACATACCCACATAAATATATAAAGCGCGTAGTTGGAAGGCCTTATTGTCGTCCTGCTTTGTTTTATCTTGTTTCATTTTATTTGCAGGGCAAAGCTTTACTCCTTGCTCTCTGCTGTCTCCAGCGTATGGAAAAGGTGCGCTGCTAAGGCAACTATATGTTTTGTGCGCGTCTATAGGTGTCTGTGTGCACGGAAGGTTTACACTGTGCTCTGTTTATCGCACAAATGTAATCCATTCAAGTTGACACAACAACTTAACCTTTGCAATCCACTGTTCCGGTGGCAGAGCGTCAAGCATATTTTATTTTTAATGCATTCAAATGGTTTCGAAATTACTGCTGCCTTGGCTGTTGTTGCTTGTATCACCTTGGTACTCCTGACTTGGTTACTTAATTTATGTTAGCTTGCAAAATAGCACAGTTTATAGCTTATTTTGTCGGATGAAATTGTTGGCGATTTCATGATCATCTGCATGAAATATTTTAGCTGGGATTCGCTTTCCCACAGGAGTCCTTAAATGGCCAGCTTCTTGATATGTATAAACAAGTGCTTGCTCCAAACATAGCAGAACAAAATTCATATTTGAGCATTATTTTACTAATATATATATTTTGTTAATTTTATTGATTGGTTCTAATGTAGTTTTCGGTTGCACCGAACATATAATACCCTTCACAAATACAAAGCCAAAGGCCTTACAAGAACTTGATTCCGATCGTTCAATTTGTATGGCAGCTATATGACATAATGATCTGATCTAAATAATTTTTTCGGAGATTATGTTGTTGCTTTAAACAATAGCGCATGCCTAATTTCGTGAAGAGAACTCACCATATAAAAAAGTTTTCCATACAAGTACATGCCTCCGATTGTTTAGTTTATATGGCAGCTACAGCATACTTTCTAAGAGTCTCAAGAGTTCCACTATTAGAAAAAGACTAGAAAAAGTAACACAACAATTAAAATAAAGATATTAAGAGATCACAGTTATTCACATGATGCACCAGAGAAATCGCCTGTGTAATTTGGCTTGCACTTACTTGTATGCTTGTATACGTTACATGTTTGCTTTACAGCTTTTTATCACATTATTGACTAAATAAAGAAACAATTTTAGAATCATTTATTAAACATAAACGCATACACATTACTCTTGTGCTAAATGTACAAAGCATTTGCAAAGAATAAGTGCTAAGAGCGACTATTTTTTGGAATATCAGAGTTATAGCAAATGCTTTGTTGCTAGATACCTTCTTTGCAGCAAAATTTGCTTATAAAATTTGATACGCCTGCTGTATGCTATGGATAAGCGCATATGTCTGTTTGAACGACGCCATTTCCCACAAAAAATTCTCACCTTCCACATATGAAAATTGCTAGAGCCAATGCAAATTGAAAATTCACAATGCAACGAAATCAATGTGGTGCGAATAATTGCATTTGGGAGTTGGAATGTTGCTTGACTGAATTGAAAGTAAACATAGAAAGCAAACTTTGTAAACACCTAGACTCACACACATACATACACAATAATAAATGCACTTCCGGCTGTACACCTAGGAATACACCGAAGAGTCGTTGTCGTTAACTAAACAAAGCTACACACTAGCATAACGGCAAATGGCTGTGGCATATTGGTAGAAAAATCACCAGCACAATGCTTGTCAATTGTAACAACTAACTTCTATTCGGTGTTATTGTTGTTCTTATGACATATTTCTGTTTATTGTTTCCTTCCTACTGTTTGGCAGCACACCGTTTTTGTTTTGTCGCTCACACCTTTCAATCACAATGGCAGTTACAACAACAAAAATCGAAAAAAAATTTATGATTACTCCACGGGTTAAAACTTTCAGTAGCATAGTGGTTGAGTGTTTGTGCTATTATGCTGCCGTGAAAGTAACACTCACTGCTTAAGAGCTGAGTGAAGGCTTTGAGTTGCTTTAAACCGGCTCCGATACTGGCTTATACATAATATATAATTTTGTTTGTACTTCAAGCAGGCAGCCTTGACTTGGTGAAATGAAAGTGTAGTGTATGTAAAGGCATTGGTTTGCATTAAATCGATATTATTGCATAAATAAGAAGACTTTTGTGTTTATTTAGGTTGAATTCGACTCATAATTTCGTACAAAATTTTATTGCTTAGTTAACGCATGTTGAGAGCTATTATCAGTTGTTAATGATATAGACACAGCTCATAAATTCACGTAAAATATTATTACAAAATTGATTGAAAATATATCTGCTTCTCATATTATAAAGAGGGTAAATGTATGCTCCGTGTAAAAATATTTTTTTTTTTAATATTTTTTATAAGTTTTATTTATAAATTTAATTTAAATAGCAGTTATATTAACAAAATGCCAATTTGATTTCGTAATGGCAACGTGTAACAGGGCGTATGATGAATATTTCACATGGAAATGGTTTAGAAACGAATCGACGTCTAAGTGTATGCTTCGAATTGCTTTAATATTACTGAGCACAATCTACTCATAGCATTTTTTTAAAGATTACTGATAATGTTTCTTTAAAATATACTCGTATTTCCATTTATGTACATTGAAATAGGAGTCTTGAAGGCATTCGCACATTTATGGCATAACTGTGAATAAAGAAGTCAGCTGGTGAACGTGACACATGAAACGGCAGAGTAATACAGAAGCTTCTAAATTATATAGAGCATATATATATATATACACAAATATATATGTGTAATTATACACATATATAGATATATATATTATATACATATATATATATGTATATTCGCTTTGCTAAAACTCGCAGTTCTACGGATTATCGCAAATTTATATAAATGTACATATATATTATATATGTACAACAGATCGCTACACTTAAATAAGATTTGAAAATTCAATACAATTTCATTTCATTTCAATCAATCGCATTCAATTTAAACGGTGGGAGTGAGCGCGCGTGCTACATTTATTATCGACTGAAACGCATTTTATTTTTAACATAAACGCCGTTAGTCAGCAACCGACATGAAAGCCAAACAAATACAAACACAAGCGCAAACACCAATACCAACACCAAAGCAAATACAAATGCAAATACAAACACAAATAGATGTGCGACAGGCAAATACTTGTACATGCCACTAAACATACCGGCACACACACACACACAAACACTAAAATATACAAATCAATGCTAATGCGTGCGTGGCAAGCAGAATACAACAAAAGCTGAAAAATAAAAATTTTAAAGACGATTTCACTAAAGTTGACAGACAAAATATGCTCTTGGCCGCAGTGACACCAACATGCAGGTGTACAGGGTGCAGCAGCTTTTGCTGGCTCTGCGTTGGCTTTGGGCGTTGGAAATGTAATAATATTCGTAAATGAAACAAATTTGATTTGATTCCGTATCCGCAAATTAACGTTTTAGCATTTCGAGAGCGCCAACGATTCACCAATACCACGTCAATGCGTTGCACGTTTGCCACGCTCAGGACCCGCGTGAGTGGGCGTGCGCCAGCATGTTGTGTACCCTGCACTTTCTGTATATATATATATTGTATGTGTGTGTGGTGTGGTGTAGTTTATCGCGTTGTTGACTGGGTTATGTTGCAAGGCAGCCTCTAAACCCGGAGGCGTGTGCTGTGCAAGCGGCATATTTAACATTTTCGCTCATAAATAATTCACGGCGTTATGTGTGTTGCACGATTTTTCTAACATTTCATTTTATTGAGAAATTCGTGCACTTTCGGTTGTTTTTATTTCGTTTGCCATATCTTGTGGTTGGCGGTTTTAGAAACACTGTCAACTGTTTGCATTTCTACACACCGCTCGCATAAATTTAACATATATTTTTATGACAGCGTTGTAACGCAATTTACTACATGCCTGTGCAGTTGTGGGTGTGTTTGAAATTATTTTAAATTGCGGTGTTTGCCTTTGAAACGAGTTGCTGTACATATATTGGCTTAAAGGAAGGTTTGCTGAAGGGATCATCAAAGTTTATTTGCTGGTGTATGAAGATTTAGCATTAAATTGTATTTAAGGTGTTTATTAAGCAGGGTATAGGTTTCAATTCTCAAATATTATAAATAAAAAGAATTGTGAAGAAGATACATTAAAATGTCTATATTTCCCTAAACGATTTTTAGTTGCTGCAGTAGACAACTGTATTGCTGTATGCTTTTGTGAACGAAGAATCACATCAACATGCAAGTTGAGGCTGTCAGCACCCATATCCACTCGGATTTGTTATTTAAATAATGTACCTAATATTCTTGCTATTAAATTCCACTTGTCGAGAATGCTGAGTAACGAGTAACGAATATTCACTGGCATAAGTGTGCTCAAAATTTACCCTAAACTTGTTCTAACAATTTTCACTAGCTGCCTACAGTTACTGCTGTCTCATTGTCTTGCCAGCACTCGCTCTCACTAACTCTCTGCCATAATGAAAAGTAGTTTTGTACAAGTTTGTGCTTGCAAAAGTGCAACTAAATACTTTTTGATGAGCACTACTTCATTGCAACAAGCAATATATTTAAATCATAACATTATTTTCAATTATTTTGTATCATATTAATTTCATTTGCGGCGAAAGCGCCATAGCGTATGCTACATACGACACCTAAAAGTATACTATGCACACATCCTTACGCATTTCTAGCAGAAATATTTGAAATTCCAGAGGAAACTATTCATTTCCTATAACAATGAAAATAATAATGACAACAACAACAACAACAAAAACTTATAACATATACATGCATACATTTATAGTGTAAAGCAGCAGTTGATTGTTGCATTTTAAGTGTAATTTTGTATATGATTCCATAATAAGCTGAATGAAGTCATTCGAAATCACATGACTCAGCATAATTTCCTGTATTTGTACATTCATTGAAATTTTCTATTTATATGACAATTTCACTCAATGCAATTTCATTGCATTCTACGACAACTGTGACAGCAGATATTATGATGCAACACATTTCATATTAATTGCTTGATTATACCTCTTGATATACATATATTGTATATATGATATATACTTACAATTATTAGTAAAAAAATACACTGATTTGCTGGGGAAAACATGTGTTTGCGGTAGTAGAACCTAAATTATCATACTCTAGTTATGGGCTGTGGCTGGGATGACCTTTATTTCCTGCAGTAATTATGAATGAATGAATATGAGCAGGTTTCATGAAGTTTGGCATGAAGTTTCTAATACCCACAAGAACATGTCGCAGTCTATAAAATTATATACGTAAGCATATATAAATGATTGGCATGACGAGCTGAGCCGATTTAACGAAGTCCGTCTGTGCGTATATAGGCAAACAAGTTCGTTTTCTTTCCACTATTACATAGAGCTGCCATAAAAACTGTTCGATCAAACGCAAGCACTTTTTTATGTGACAAGGTATCGTTACGAAATTCGGCATGCATAATGGTTTATGGCAACGGTAGAATCGCTTAAAAATTTGTTCAAATAGGACCATTGTAGCAAATAGCTGGCACACACACTGACCGATTAAAATCATTTAATAATAATATTTTCTCGTTTTTATACGTAATCGGCAAGTTGGACAAAGCGCGAAACATATATTCGAGCTTTGTTAACTGTCGATTTATTATTATATTTATTAGCGCAGCTGGTATTCTCTACTATCTCGTTGCAGGGCGAGATCAAGATGTTCGACACAACATTCTCTTACTTCTAATACCATATAATACAAAATGCTTGACAATTTCTAAAGTATTTTCTTTTTTCACAATTTAGTAAAGCTAGCGGCGTTTGGTTAGCAAATATTGCTCTAAACAAGCATTTAAAAATGCTTAAATTTACCTTTATGTGTATGTATGTGTATACGTAAATGATGTGTCGAAATCAGGTAACTTTGAAAATGAGTACAACTCAGAACACACTTTCCATGAACTACTGTACCATATATGCAAATCGTTGCCCTACAGCTCAAGGCGATTAAGCGTACATACACACACAGGCACGCATGTGTATGGCTTTGCATTTTGCGGTGTGTATGCGAAATTTGGCATTGCCTTGAGCACCGATTGGAATTTAGCAAATTTGCACAATCGCATTGTTTCGTTTAATAAATATTCAATAAACTCAAATTGATAATGATTCGATTGCAAGTAATGCAGACACACACACACAGCCAGTTGCCATAATAGCAGCACAGATTATACTTACACTAACAACTGCAAATTATACAGTTATATAATGCAGTTAATATGTGCTCAGAGGCATTCATACCTAGCTAAAGCTCTTTTGCCTTTCATGGCACTGCCATTTAAGCACTTCTTGGCCCGAAACTCCACTCTTGCATTTGCTTACTCACTCGTTAATTCATTCTTTGAATTGTATTGGTGAAGTGCTCATGTAAATATATTACTGAGATATTAATGCGTTTAGCAATTAAATGCAACGATGCAAATTATTTGCTTTGAGGTGCAATTAACGACGAACGCAAATGGGAAGCGCTGCTTGTATAATACAGCGCTGCCGCTGCTGCCACATGCGCTTAACTACTGCTAGCACACATACGCTCAAGCATACAAACTTGTGTGCATTTACGTTGCTTGTTTGTCTGTTTGTGTGCATTAGCATATTGTTCGCTTGAGCTGCAGCATACATAGCATGCATGTGTTAGTGTGTGGCAAGTACACCATCGCTAGCTGGCAATTGCAAATTTGCTTAGTAGTTTGGCAATAACGACAACCGCCAGTCAACCTCAGCTTACTCTAAACTATGCATGCTGCACCAACTATGTACTACATTACACAAAATATTAACAACAAAAAAGCCGTGCACTACATAAAGCAAAATATGCTGGGAATTTAATGTTGCAAGCAAATCAGGCCATTGCGTTTCATTATCAAATATTTGTTTTGAAGTTGACTCGTATACATACACATACACAAAACTCAACGCCTGTGTATTTGTGCAGTAACTCAAGTGTGTGCGTATGTAGCGACGAGGGTAGTTAGTAATAGTTAAAACAATTAGTCGAAAATTGTACGGCGGAAGTGCCAGCTTCATTAATACTGGAGTGAGTAATACGCCTGCGGTACTTATTTGTAATGCTTTTGTGTGTGCGTGTACGCAAATAGAATTTCAATTAAATAAATAATTGCAGTCGGAAATGCCTTAAAAGTTCGCAACGAGGTCGCATTGTTTAAGTAGTTTCAGTTACATGCGCATTCAGATACCGCTAAATGTTTATAAATGCTAAGCCTTTGTGGGCACATTAATGAAAATTGAAAAAAGTTTTAAAAATACTTTTTGAATTTTAAAATAATTCAGCTGAAATAAAACTGAGGAACTAGTTTGGAAGGGCAGACAGACAGATAGACATGGCCAAATCTGTTCAGCTCATCACGCCGATCATTTTTATATATACGCGGTCTCGGACGTTGCCTACTGGGTATAACAAACTTCATGACAGTTTAAATAAAGCCTGCTCTGCGTACAAAAGTTGCCTTTTATATTTTGGCCCAATCGACATTAGACTTCCTTGAGCGATTAATTTGTGGTATACAAAGTGAACCATTCTTTTACAATAAAATGTTCATGCAATATTGAATGTGTGCTAGTTCCTCTAATGCCTATAGTTGTCTCAATCTCACGATTGGTCACATGACGATCGTGAAATATTAGCCAGCGCACAGCATTAATTGTTTCTAGAATAACAACTGATTTTCGACAACCTTAACGAAAATCGGCTTGGAGTGATCTACGACCATATGTGCCATATTTGAACTAATTTATTATCATTGTAAAATAATATTTCAATCAGATATGCATTGCAAATGAAATATTAAAGCATAATATATTCATATTGTATACGAAGTTCCATTAAAACACTCAGTCGATTGGTTTGATGACATCCTTAAAAATTAATAACAAGCTAGCAATTATGGATTAGTCATGAGCATATACCATTAGCAATATGGAATATTTTTTATATATACCTAAGTATAAGTGCAAACGCATAAAGGGTGACTTCATTAAATATTGGCGCTAATCTGTAGGTATCGAGAGACAGTAATTAAAGATGCGATAGCAGAAATTTTATATATTTTTAGTTAATATTTAAATATCTGCAACTTTTTTTATACATATACTTATATCTATATTTTCGCATAGTGCCTAGATGGAACATAGGGCCTTAACTTTTCTAATGCTGTATCATATATAATATTTTGGAAGCAGAAGCTTCACAGATCAGTCATTGAATAAAAATATGCAGCATCGTGAAATTCCAGAAAAACGGAATATTAGAAAATTGAAAGTTCACTTCAGTAGTTACACAGAGGAAACTCTAAAGAAAGCGCTTTTGAGAGTTTCTACATTTTTTATTTTTTTAAATTTTTTTAAGTAATTTGCGCTCATCTCGAGTTACCCTATATAAATGCATATAAATTAATTAGTTCGCTTATTATCTATATTTCATTGCTTATATATTAGTCATCGCACAA